AGCAACTTTATTATCGTCGGTGTTGAACTGTGAAGGCTTGTCGCTATCCTGGAGGTCCCCAGCTGCAAATGCTTCTGTTAAGGAATGAAACGGGAGTGGCAGGGGCACTGAGCTAGAGAGAGGGCTCTGGCATCCTTCAGGGCCACTGCCACCTCAGGGACTCCATGTATTACAGAGCCTGGGCCCGGGGCAGGGGAGACGTGGGGCTGAACTGGTCCTGGCCTCGTTCACTTGGGCTGGGGCGCCTTCGCAGAGACTGTGGCCAGGTGCATGCGGTACGGGGCCCTCTGGGGCCCCAGAGTATTTCCTCGAAAGCATTAGCGACAATGGCTGCTGCCTGTACCGCTCCCCTGCTGGAAGAAGGCAGACTCACGTCGGGTAGGTGTAGCCGTCAGCAGTTTGGTTAGGCCCGAGGATGTCACGTCATCCCTTCCCCAGGGTTTGCTTTTAACTCTGAGCCCCTCTGTGTTGAAGGGCGAGAAAGTCTTATTTAATGAGAATACAAGTGGATGCAGCACACTTTTGTCAGGTGATGGAGTCTGACACAGTTTCACTGCTTGGAGTCTGGTTCACTTCTTCCCAGATGCTGTAGACGGTTCTGTCTCTCAGCTCAGCGGGTGGAGTGGTAGCCTGTGGCATCTGTCCCCGGAACACTTTGTCCTGGAGGAAGGTGTAAGAGGCGTCTTCTATTTTCCCACCGTTTTACTTTTGTGTCGCCTTGTCCTGAAACAGCCGGTGGTGGAAAGGCCCGCCCAGGATGCGTGTGAGATCCTGGGGAGGCCCGGGTGCTGCTGAGCCTCGGTGTCGACAGTTGGTCCTCGGTGTCGAGATACCATGAGCCCCCTAGACGCGAGCGGGACTGCAGCTGGGTCTTCTGAGTAGACTTCGTCTTTAACGAGAACGCAGGCGACTTCCGTGTCCCAGGCAGGAAGCGTGTGGTTTGGGTCTGCCGTCCGTGAGAGCACATGATGCTCTGGGAAGCAGCGGAGCCTGGGTATGATTCACTGGGGGTGGGATGTGGAAAACAATGTCTGTCTTTAAGCTCCGGGAACCAGGAAAATGAGCTGGAAATGTGAGTAATGTATAATTTTACTAAAATTAACCAGCGAGTTCTTCAGACGTTTTTCTGTGTTTCTCGGTGTCTTTGATCTGTGATGCCTCGCTGCGTCATGTTTGCTGTGACCATTTTCCTAGTTAGTGTCCCCAGAGGTCCTCTTCCCCTGCTCCCTGCGTGGGTTGGTACAGAGCAGGGCTCGGGAGCACAGGCGGTGGCTGTGGGTGTGGCCCTGCCCATCATTGCCTCTGCCCTGTCAGCCAGGTGACTCCGGTCACTCACCACCCTCCTTGGGCATCCCTTTCCCCTGGAAAGGAGTTTACTAATCCCTGGGCCTCGGTGTTGGCTGTCCAGAGGCTCAGCTGAGTTAGTAACACGTGGCTGTGCTTTGCCGCTATTGGTGTGCCACCTAGACTCAAGATGCGAGGTGCTGTCTGTGTGCTGGTGACTTTGACGTTGGATGGGGACAGCTACCGCCTGGGCTTTAGGCTGCTCCTTCCTCCCACTGGGAGTGCTTCTGCATCCTCCGACTCCCTCAGGCTCTGCCAGGTTCTCTGGCGTGTGCCACCTCCCCTCGTGCTGGAGCCGGCACCTGGGAGCCTGAGCCTGTAGCCCTATGGCAGGCCGTGTGTTACTTTCTGTAACCTTCACAAAATAGGGGCTCAGTTGACATCCGCTGCATAAACTGGAGTCTGAACTGGACAGCGGCAGATTCTGACTGAGGAGCTTGTCAATGGGTTCCCTGAGTTTGCATGGTTCCTTAGTGACCTTTAAAACCTCATTCTGGGGGGAGATAAGGGGGAGGAGATTTGTCAGGGAAGCAACTGACATAGCTTGTCAAACATTACCTTTCATTTTATCCAAATTTAGAAGAAAACCTGATACTGAAGATGAGTCGTATGAGTGAGAATGTCATCTCTTCCTACACTGATAAATTGTATACTTAGCAATAAATGTCCATTTAGGTAAAAGCCAGTTTATCTCAGATTTGATTGGCCCCAAATCCATCAAGTGGAGCGTCTGCACTTCTATACTGGCTGATATTGGTGTTTGGATCCCAGCCCCCGAGGCATTCATTGTCAAGGCCTATAATGTCTTCTGAATCATCACAGGAAGATCACATTATGGACAGGCTGGTTTCCAAATTAAGTGCATTATTTTTTATTTTTGGGTATTGTAATTCTTTGAAAATGGCCAGGATAATTGTGGCATGTATGTAACATATCACCTAGACTGTTTGACCAGAACGTTCTCTTCCACGATTATCTTCCTGGGCTGAAAATTTACTCTCTAATTGCCTGTAAGTCATTCTGTATAGTCAACCAGAGAACGAAAAGGGGGAGACACCCATAACTTGAAAGCTGTGCCTTCTGCAGTTAGTTACCCTGTGATCCATAAGCTGAGCTTGGAGCTGATTTGGTCCCACTGATGTTCACCCATCACCTGCATGGAGCTGGCCCGCTGTCTATGTTTGTATAACGTTCAGCCCCCATTTCAGCCCTCTGAGGTGGATTGCACACAGCCACGCGGTAGACGAGGGCACCAGGCTCAGTGGCCTGCCCGGGAGGCGGTGCGGCAGAACCACGGCCTGCACTGGGGGCTTGCAAGACTTGACACACCTCGGGTCTTTCCACTGAGCCCCTAGCGGCGTATTGATTGTGGCACATCACCACCTGGAGGGTGTGAACGCCCCTCCAACTGACTCTCGGCTCTTCACCTCTCCACCCGTTCTGCCCTTCCATGGTTCCACGTCCACGGTGCCTGCCTTTCCTTGTTCGGTCTTCCATGTACTGTCTCTCTTCACTCAGTCACATCACTGTGGGCCTGCCGTGCTGGGCAGTGTGCTAGGCACCGAGGGTGCTGATGAGCAGGGCTCTGTGCACTCTCAGAAGCCCCGGGGCGGGGAGAGGGCATAGATGAAGAACTCGTTGACAGTGCTGTGATGGGTTCTCTGTTGAAGGTTTGCATGGGGTGCTGTGGGATCAGAGCACAGCCCGTAATGCTGCAGCCACAGTTGGCAGTGGGGGTGTATGTGTGTGTAGCAGGAACAGAGGCACAAAGTGGTGCATCTGATCTGAGGAGAGGCAAGTAAGTAGACTGTTGTATCTACAGAGCCCAACGTTTAGGGGCGTGGAGGCAGGGATGAGGGCAGGAGGGTGGACGGGGCTGGAGTGGGAAGGGCCTAGGAAGCCAATGAGGGTGGTGCTGAGCTGCTGAAAATTGTAACTGAGGGTTTGATGTGGTTGGGTCTGCTTTATAAAACAGATCGTGCTGAAATGAATACAAGTGAAACAGGAAATCTGAATAAGATCAGCGGGTCATCTCAGTGTCAACAGTCTGGTGGTGCTGTATTGTACTGTAGTTTTATAAGATGTTGCCATTGGGGGAAACTGGGTAAGGGGTACCCAGGATCTTTTTGTATTATTTCCACTTTTTTGGTGAGGAAGAGTGGCCCTGAGCTAACATCTGTGCTGCCACAAGCATGGGTTGATGAGTGGTGTATAGGTCGGCACTCAGGATCCAAACCCACAAACCCTGGGCCACCAAAGCGGAGCACATGAACTTAATCACTATGCCACCAGGCCAGCCCCTCTGTACTATTTCTTACAACTGCATGTGAACCCACCATTTAAAAGGCATGCCTGTCACACACACCCATACGTGTGTGTGTGTGTATGTATATCGAGTACTACATTATATTTTCTCGTATTCAGCCAGTCGAGGCAGGCCATCTTTCTCTGGGTGTCTTTCTTGGTGCACGAGCCAGGCTTCTCTGCTATAAACAGGCTGTCTGCTGAGGCAAGAGGATGACTACTTGTGGACTCTGAGAATAATTTGCATTTCTTAAAGAAAAGTCACAGAAATCATTATCTACCACATTTGTAGTTAAAAGACTTGCTCGTTCGTTATGAAAAAAAGATTGTTCTGGCAGCAGAGAACATGGCGGATTTAAGGGGCCGAGACCAAAGGCCCCTTATTCCAGAAGAACCCCTGGAATAACCAGGGAGGGGGAGGGGCCGGGGCTGAGCCTGTAACGGTGTTCATGGTCTTCTCTCGGCTGTGCCTTCCCATACCTGTGCCATGTCATTCTCTGATAGACGTGACAGATGCTGCTGCCTTCAGCTGGGCGGTGTCAGATTGCGGGGCGAGGGGGCGGTGTTTACACTCCGGCCGTGTTCCCCACAGCACCTCCCACGTGCCGAGCGTACAGCCGAGGCCCTCGTGTGTGCGAGTTGCTGGCCCTTCCTGAAGCAGGTCCCTCTCTGGTGTATTCTGGATGGAGGAGCTGCATGCTGGCTCTCTGTTCTCCAGGCAGACCAGCCTGAGCACACTCGGAGCCAGAGCAAATGCCCCCGCTTCCTGGCCAGGGACACGGCTGCTCTGCGTCTCAGTCCTCTCGTCTGGAGAGAGGTAGTTAGGGCAGCTCCTCCTCAGTGCTGTTGGGAGGTGCAGTCTTAGGGCAGGCCCGGCACACAGGAGGCATTCGGTGACTTTGGGTCATCACCGCTGTCTTCATTCTTCTGAAGAGTAGATCCGTGTCGAACCAAGCTGGCCGTGAGCACGGCGGTTAGTGCTCTAGGCTCTGAGCGGGCGGAGCTTGTTATGAAGTACTCAGACGGCATGTGGCTGTGCGTGGGACAGGCTGCCGTCTGTCTGCACGGCCCTACAGAGCTGCCCTCAGACCCTGGGGAGGGTGCTTCCTCCTGGCAGCCAGGGGCTGTGGGGTCACACTGTGCTGGGGTAGCGTCCTGGCTCCTCAGCTTACTGCCGAGCTCTGTGACCTGAGCCTTGGAAAAATGGGGATGATAATGATGTAATCTTTACCCACAGCGAGGAGGCAAATTAAGTGAAATAATCAGCGCGAGGCGCCTAGCATGTGGTCGGGACCCCCTTCATCATTCACAGGATGCCAGGTACCCCGTCTGAGTGTTCATTCCTTTTTTAGGAACAAGACTGCCAATGGAGACTGCCGAAAAGACCCCCGGGAGCGGAGCCGCAGCCCCATCGAGCGTGCCGTGGCCCCCACCATGAGCCTGCATGGCAACCACCTGTACACGTCCCTCCCCAGCCTCAGCATGGAGCAGCCCCTTGCACTGACCAAGAACAGCATGGACGCCAGCAGGCCAGCCGGCATCTCGCCCACACTGACCCCGGTGGAGCGGCAGCAGGTACGGCTTTGTCCAGTAGGGTCGGGCTGGTGGCTGATGGTGGGCCCTGAGGGCTGGGTGGGGAGCGCTGAGACGAGGCCGCGGGGAAGGGGTGAGAGAGGCTGGGTCCTTGGTTCTCTGCTTGGAACAAGGGGCAGTGGCGACAGGAGCAGGGTTCCCTTTACCAAATGCCGCCTCGCATTTCGGTTCCCGCCTGACCTGCCTGGGCCTCGCCGCTCGGCACTGGTGGCCTTGGAGCAGATGCTCCAGGGCCCCATTTCTTCGCACGGGCGGGCTGGGTCTAGACGAGGTGTGTTAGCAGCAGTTCCGCCTCTGTCGGGGTCAACTTAATGATCCAAACGGGAACCCTGCGGTTACCTGTTGTGAGGTCACACAGATGCAGGTAAATATCAGGTTGCTTTGCTTTGGGCTGGAATCCTATAAAGTCGCTGGTCACAGTGGTTATTGCCCCATGCTGGTCAGAAACCTGTGCTTGGCAGATAGGGGTATTTTTTATTAAAGGAAAATAAGGAAATTAAGTGATTACTTAGTTTACTTGATAGAAAAAACAATGTTCCTTTAAAAAGGGGGTTCCCAGGGAACTGTATAATAAAAGGTGGCATTAGCATGGAGGTTTGGAATCACTGCATGAGCCCGTGACTTTTTTCGCGGAACCTCTGGGACCTGGGACCCAACAGGTCCTCGGTCAACTTTGCTTACGACAGATGGACGGACAGTGAGCAGAGGAAGGGGCTCTGCTGTGAGAGATGCTGTGTGCTGCTGGAGGCGCGGGCTCAGCTTCCGGGCCTGCCCCTGCATGCCTGCAGCACACCTCGGACACACCTGTCTGCCTGCCTGTCCCAGGCCCCTGACAGCTGCTCTGCCTGGCACAGCTGCGCCCCGGCCCAGCCGGCAGCACCTAGTGCTGGCCTCTGATCTGGTCTGTCCTGACTGGCTGCGGGCAGGCCCTGGATGCTGGGGAGGTTGTACTGGCGCCTGTGAAGCCCCGTGAGGCTGATGAGCAGTGGTTTACTCTACCTTGGAGCCAGACATCATGATCCTGTTTGTTTCCTTTGTTCATCTAACAAAACTGTGCAGGCACCTGCTGCATACAATGATGTGTGCCAGAGGCCAGTGAAGTAAGATACAGGCTCTAGTCTGTTCTCAGGGCCTTGCAGTTCAGGTCTGGAGGAGAGACATGTCATCAAATAACTACAGTATTTCGACTACTAAGTATCGATGGATGGCCACTTACTCTGATAGAATCTGGGGCCCAGTTATCACCGCCATTCACTCACTGACCGGTGACCGGCGCTGCCCACCCCAGGCACTCTGTCAGCTCTGGGGATGCGGAGCTGTGTGGGCCCGACACAGGGCCGGCCTGGAGGGCGCTCGCAGTCTAGTCAGGGAAGTACGTGTGAGGAGGAGGCTGCCCTTGTGGGCAGCAGAGGCCACAGCAGTAGAGGCGACTGAAGCATGGACGGACTTCATTTCCAGGATCCAGGGACTTCAGCCCTCTGGCTACTGCCACTGCCCGAGTGTTCCTTGGAGAGGAGGCAGGGTGAGACTCCACATGGACGTGTCACCTCTGAGCCCGTGGCGGCCTGGGGCGAGAAACTCCCAGAGCCCTCTCTGCCCCTCCCTCTCTACCCGGAAGAACAGGGTGGGCCCTGCCCCGCCCTTAGCTCCTAGGAGGCTTTCCTGTTTTCTTGGATCATGGATTTCCATGACCTTGCAAGGTTTTTGAGGGGCTTCTGGCTGGTTTCTGGTCAGAGTTACTTTGTGAAAAGTGTACTGCTGGACAGAGGGACCTGGCTTTCTTTACCACGAGCTCCCCAACCCTGCCGTAAAATGTGCCCACTCCAGCAAGGGCGTCCCCAGCCATGGGACGTGCTCTGGGGCTGTTGAGCAGGCTTTCTAAGTGACAACCTTGAATTCCCACCTGCGTTCTTATGGGATACCTGGGCAGAACTGAGAACAAAGCCAGTGTCCATGGAACAAGCCAACCGCCTCCCTGGGACAGGTGCAATGGCTTCGTCTTCCCCAGTGTGGTGGCCACTGAGCTAGGCTTTAATTGACGGTTGGGGTTGGAGGTGACGAGAAGGTTGTCAGCTTGCTCCCCTCCCCTCAGCTGCGATCAGCGTGTGTTTTACTCACATAGTAACCGTGCGTCCAGCTCTGCCCTGCGTCCGCACAGTGTGACCTGGACGGTCCGCTATGATCTGAGCTTCTGCTCAGACATGGACTGAGTTCTCTGCCAGGAGCTTTGCTGAGGACACAGGAATGGGACAGCCCCTGTTCTCCAGCAGCTCCGAGGCATCCACCGGTTTCCGGGAGTTCTGTTTCATTTGTTGGCCCACTGCTGTCAGGGTGGCCATTGTGGGGAAGTGTGGGTGTCATCCCGCAGCTCAGAGCAAGGGAAATGAGGATGTGGAGGGGGCTTCTTGGCGCAACAGCAAAGCTCCGTGTTGGCAGGCGGGCGGGCTGTGCCGGGCGGGCGGTGGAAGGCTTCCTCTGTGCAGGGGAAAATGTGACTCGGGTATCTGGGAACTGGGACAGGGAAGTTCCCAGAGAGGCAGCTCTGGACAGGTTGCAGAAAGTCACCCCATTTCATATTTTTGTGATGGCATCTTTGAGGGTCTAGGGTTTTCTAAAGAAAGATACAAAAGATATCAAGAGGGTGGCTCGAGGGCAACAGCAAATGAGAGAAGACAGGGTAAGACTGAATGTTAAAAACCCGAGGGACAGTGAATGTCAGGGTTGCCCTCACACGGGGGCTCTTTCCTGTGGGCAGCCTTGGCTCCACGTGCCACCAGCATGGGTGGGGCAGGGGCTGGGTGGAGCGTGAGTGACAGACTTCCATTCTGGCCCTGACACTGATTTGCCGTGTAACCTCCAGCAGGTTACTTGTTTCTGGCCTTCATTTCCCTCATCTGGAAAACAAGGGCGTCGGGGGAGGGGTGTTGGGCCCTGTGAGCTCACCAGCACCCTCCGTCTGGAAGCGCGAGGCCTGCTCTAGGTGGGTTTGTGGCCCTGGAGCCCAGCTTGCGCTCAGCCAGAGTCGGGAGTGAGATGCTGGGACCCCAGCTCGGAAGAGGGAGGTTTGGTGTGTCCCTTGAGAGCTCAGCCGGGCCACCCTGCAGCCTGGGCTGGGCCTTAGGTGCTGTCCATGTGCACTTCCGTGGGTGTCAGGAGGTGTCCTGGAGATGACCTAAAACCACAGGTGGTGTTGGAATCTCTTCCTAGCGTCCCCACGTTAGTCAGTCGTCCTGCCTGCTGGTCCCTCGCTAGGGAGAGGCCTTTCTCCCCTTTGGATACTGCTGACAGAAAGGCTGGACTCTGACTTTATGCTTCAGTCTGAGCTTCCCTAAATGCATTCCATGACACTGCATTTCTTCACCTTCTGTGACCCTCTCCCCCAAACATGTCCCCACTTTCCAATGTTCGTGTTGGTGGGATCTCTGCTTGCAAGAAAGAGGGACCAACCTGAGCTGGGGTGAGCACAAAGGAAGGGAGTTTTACTGGGAGGACGGCGGGGCAGCTCAGGAAGGAAGGGTCGGCCCCACTGGGAGAGCGGGAGAGGAGGCAGGACTCCTTCCTCCCCGGCTCTGCGCCCAGCCGGGTCTCTGCGTCCGCTCCTCTCTCTGCTGCTCCGCCCGCACGGCCAGCCTGGCGTGGCTGTCCCAGAGCTCCTGAGACCAACCTGAGTCTCTGACTGAGGCGGCCCCAAGCCCGAGTCAGACTTCCAGCCGGGCCAGGGGGGCAGGGTCACTTATGAACATGGCTGCCTGAGCCCCACCTCGTGGATGGAAGGCATGTGCCCAAGAGAGGGGACGGAGGGATCACAGACTCTGGGATCAAACAGACCCTTCAAAAGAGGTGGGCTCCATGCTGCAGGCTGTCCTCCCAGCACGGCCTGAGCAGCCCCTGCAGAGGGGGACCCCAACACGCCCCCAGGGCCGGGCTCCCCACATGTCATCTCAGGCAGTCCTCCCACCCCCTCTTCAGGTGCTATTCCTCCTGTTTCACACGAGGAGAAACGGACGCTCAGCGTGGTGAGGGCCCTTGCCCAAGGCGCTGCCCAGTGAGTGGAGAGCCGGCATTCACCCCAGGTCCACCTCGCCTCCAGGCCCTGCATGGAGGAGCTGGGACCCAGCAGGGGGCTTCAGGCCCCGAGATGGCTGAAGGCATTGGTTCTCCTGGGCATGACGGGTGTCCGTTGGTGGTGTAGGAGGGGCGCGGAGAGGGTGGTCTTGCCTCAGCTCTGGCAGGAATAAGGGCTGGGGTCGCCTGCGGGCGTGAGGAAGCAGAACTGCCGCTCGTCTGTGTCCTCGAGCCTGAGCTGACGCCGGCTCTCCTCCTCTCCCCAGAACCGGCCCTCCGTGATCACCTGCGCCTCCGCCAGCGCTCGGAACTGCAACCTTTCCCACTGCCCCATCGCGCACAGCGGCTGCGTGGCGGCCGGGCCAGCCAGCTACCGGAGGGCTCCGAGCTGTAAGTGTCCCTGGGCCGTGGGGCGGGCCGGGGCTCAGGCTTCCTCCTTCACCGTGACTTCAGGTAGAGTTTGCCTGCCTTCTGTCTCATGCTGTGGACAGAACAACTAAGCCCTGGAGCTTTTCTCTTACTGAACTTGAGAACGTGGTTTTCTGAGCACATATGCACTTTTTGAGCATTGTGCCTGGCTTGGGTGGGACAGAAGGAAGAAACACGTGGGCCTTTACTTCCAGGATCTCACTCTAGTTGGGGGAGACGACGAGATCTCATTCTCTCTCTGAACCTGTAGCTAGCCCAGGGCAGCAGGCACGTGGGCATGTTCCAGGCTCAGGGAAGTGACCTGCCCAAGTTCCCAGCTAGGCTGGGTGGGGGCGGGCCCTCTGTTCCCAGGGCCTGACCTGACCATTGTCCTGCTCCCCCGCAGCCACCACCACCTGTGACCCCGTGGTGGAGGAGCACTTCCGCAGGAGCCTGGGCAAGAACTACAAGGAGCCTGAGCCTGCGCCCAACTCGGTGTCCATCACAGGCTCCGTGGACGACCACTTTGCCAAAGCCCTGGGTGACACGTGGCTTCAGATCAAGGCAGCCAAGGATGGTGCGTCCAGCAGCCCTGAGTCTGCCTCACGCAGGGGCCAGCCGGCAAGCCCCTCTGCCCACATGGTCAGCCACAGCCACTCCCCTTCTGTGGTTTCGTGAAGGGAGCACCGCCCTCGAACAAGATGTCGATCTGCATGGTTTGCCTGAGCTTTGAACAGTCAGTGCTTAAAAAACGGAAAAAAACAAAAAAAATCATGGGGGTGGGGTGGGGGGATGGGAAGGGATGGTTTATTCGCAAAAACCATGTCGTTGGGGTTTCTGTTCTGTTTTTGTACTTGCTTGGTATTCGTACACGGGGGCCCTCAAACATGACAGTGGGAACTGCGTGGGGAACATCGGTCCCATGTAGCATCCTAACTTCCTGCCTCGGTTACCAAAGAAAACCTCTGATGCAGGTCTGCTGCCCGGACAGGGGCCAGGACTCCACGGCACGCTTTCTCAGTCACAAGCCATGACATTGGTGACCCAAACGCTTTGTGCTTTTTAATTTGCTTCTCGAGACCAGGGTGTGCGTGGCTCAGCTTCCATTGCGTGTTCGGTGCAGCCCGTGCGTGTGCGCGCTGGTGTGTGTGTGTGTGTGTGTGTGTGTGTCTACTTGAAGAGAGCAGAGAACTGTCGTGTCTGATTTGCACTATGGAGGAGGACTGAAGTTGCCGGCCTGACAACTTGACGTGAGAGGCTAGCACTCTGAGGGCAAACTGCTGAAAACAAAGGGTTTAAGGATGACATTTCTGACCATTTGTGTGTTGTGTTGTTGTTGTTGTTTTTAATTTAGACAAAACAGCTTTGGAAGGGGAAGTCTCATACAGGTTATAGGTCTTTCTCTCTAGATTTCAGGTGCTTGCAACTGGACTGCAGACTCCACCAACCACGGGCATTTTACCTTCTCTAAACACTGCAGTTTGTTAGACTAGAGCTGAGGCGAGGATCCCATAGTGCTTTCAACGTGACGCATGTTTTAATGGAGAAAAATAGCTGGTTTCTATTAATTGTATAGACAGTAAACGAAACCCTTAATACTTACTAGCTTCTTGTCAGAATTAGTTTATTTTTGTCAGTTACAGTCCTAGATATACTCACTGCTGGTACAGTTGTGCTCTAAGATGTGTATTTGATATTCACCTGACTCCCGCGCACCGGGGCCGCCAGCCGCGGGCGGGCCCTGGGACGGGCAGTTGAGTGGTCGGTCAGCCGCGTGTAGGATGCTGGAGTTTTCGCTGCAGGCTGACATCTTCATTTATTGTCTGCATCCCTGTCTGCTTATTACTAGCTCCCAGGGGAGTTGGGATTTGTGTCTTCCAACTTCCCTCGATGCAGAAACTGCTCCCTTTAAACTCTCTTGGCTGAACAGCAGATTACTGACAATCTGTGATACGGTATTTTGTATGCTTCCTCGTACGCTGGGGCCAAGGCAGTATACATTCCTCTGACTTTATACAGTTATTACTGCATTTATTATCGTTTGCTATAGTAATAGCTACTAACTAGAGATTAGGTGAAGAAGCAAGCATGACAGACACAGCTGTGGATGTTCAACAGCTGCTCCTCGTGGTAAACGCACGTTCTAGCCCTGCCCCTCACTGCGCTCCATTCCAGCCTCGCCCACCGGAGGGCTTAAGAGGTCACCTGGCCAGGTGACGCAGGTGTGACCACCTCACCTGCAAGGCATTGTGGACTCAAGGGAACCCTCGAGGCTGGTTTTCAGTAGGAGAAAAGTACAGGTTAGCTGGTTCATTTTGAAAATTGGCACCGGGTGAAAAGGTCAAAGGATTGGCTCTTTTTGTGGCCACCGGGTGGCCGCGGGTCTTTCAAAAGGCGAAAGAAAAGCCCTTCTCCTCTTGCCCTGCACACATTTCACTCCCACTTAACTGGGCTTCCAGGCGTCCGCATTCAGGCCCCTATATTTTCTGTAGAAGAAATCGTTGAGAACACTTTTTTTATATAGGTAACTTTAAGACCATCATTACGCTGTGCGTAAAGAATGTACAGAGAAATTTGTAGGTATTTTTTGAACAATTAATTTGTTAATGATATGTAGCTATTTAATTTTTCCCTTTCCTATTGTAATCATTCATATTTTTTTTTGTTTGGAAAAAAAAAGTTGATCTTTTTTTGTCGTAGATTTGTCTGTGAAAGTGCAGGAACACAGTTATTCTATGAGGACACTGCATCTGCCTTAATAGCCACTAGTTTGTTATTGCTACAGGCTACTGAGCGTCGCCACAGGAAACACCCCCACTGCTGGTGGGCTCTGTGAAGAACGGGCTCCCGGGACGCCTCCGTCAGCCGACGACGTCAGCGCTTCGGGAGGCGGTGGCGCTGCCGGCCGGGCCCCTGGTGCGCCGACCTATCTGGGATAGGCCGTACCCTGGAGGGGGCCTCGGGCAGACAGGGAAGCGGCAAACCTGACGTTTCCCTGGGCGCGACCGCCCCGGCCTCGGGAGGAGCAGTGAGGTTGTTCACAGAGCCGCGCCGTCGGCAGGGCGTTCTGACCGTTCTCTCCATGTTTGTAAATCTGTAATATACCATTCTCTGTGGCCTGTTTTTCCTGGAAGAAGAAGAAAAAAAAAGGTTTGGCAGGCCATCTTTTTTTTGTACTTAAAAGTAGCCTTAAGAACAATAATAAAGTGCTCTTAAACCACAGACTGTGTGACCACTGGGTCCTAGAGTGACAGGGCCAGGCTGGGTGGGGCCTTTGTCACGAGGCCCCGGGCAGGGTGGGGTGGGCTCCGCGGCCCTACACCTCCGTATGGTGGTGCCCCTATTTAAGCCCCACAGAGGCTGGAAAATTGTAATGTTAACTCTCAATGAGAACGTCACTTAAAACCTAACCAACAGAAATCCTGCTCTTGTAAGAGTCAGCCTCAGGCTCCATTCTGACTTTGGTCCCAGGCCTGAGACGAAAGATGACACCACAGGCGTAAAATAAAAGTGTGGAAAGGGCGGCTCCCTCTCCTGGGCTTCCACACCCAGCTCTCTCGATGTTCCGACGTGCAACCCCCAGATAAGGAGGACAGCCAGCCTGAGTGACCTGTGGCAGAGCCTGTCTGAACCCTCCCACCGTCCGATGGACACCTGGCCACAGACCAAGGCAGAGGTACATGGCCAGCCAGCCCACATGGAGTCAGGGCCTCTAGGCCACCCACAGGGCGGACCCTCGGGTGGGAGAGGAAGCAGCCCTTGCCTGGCTGCGGGAGAGCGGGCTCTGGTGTGAGGTCTGAGGCTTCTCTGGGCTGCAGGTGGCCACGGGCAGGAGGGGCCCCACCTGGCCAGTTGCCGGGATCTGGCTCTGAGACCTGTCTTTGGGCTCTTCTGCCAGCTCAAGGCAGCAGCAGCAACTTCTCTCCTCCCCTGAGCAGGGAGGCATCGAGGCTGTGCCCACAGCTGAGGACAGGCTGAGAGGTGGCAGAGCTGTCTGGGTAGCCGACTCTGCCCTGGGCGGAGCTCTGGGTTGGCTGGGAGGAGTATGGTCCCTTCTTTCCCGCACGAAGCTCAGCTCTCCTTCCCTCCCTCTCCAGCAGGCCAGGCTGATGGAGAGCTCACAAGGGCCTCAGCCCTCCTCAGTGCCCAGGGGGCCCTCTGGGGTTCGCAGTGCAGCCTGGGCACGCTGGTGCTGCCTCCCACAATGGCTGCTGGAAGGACCTGGTTTCTCACTTCTCCTCCTGGTCTTTGTTGGGCCAACTCTTCCCTGTTCTCAATGCCACCCTGCAAGGGAGCCAAGGCAGGAGGGATCCTGGGAGCTTGACACCAAACAAACACTTGTGACAAGAAATAAGAACTGCTCGAGGAGGGAACCAAATCCCAGATAAACGACAATGCCAAAGCCAAGGTTATTATTTAGCTCAGAACTGGTGGGCTCATGAATCATGAGAAATGGAGAACATCAGATGGTCCTGGGCAGTGGAGGGAGGGCCCAGTCCTCAAGGTATGGAGAGGAGGGGACCAGAAAAGTTGGAGGGCACAGGGCCCAGAATTGCCGGTCCTGGGTGTGGCAGTCCTGCTCCAGGCGCTGCGAGCTCCTCAGCAGACAGCCAGGGAGATGTCGGCCCTGCGAGGGCAGGCCGGGTCAGACGGTCTCATCGTCGCTCATGTCCCAGATCTGCGTGGAGAAGGGGGAGACATTCAGTGTTCCCTTGCCCGGTGCTGCCCACCGATGCTGTCTCAGAGCTGTACAGGTGTGATAACAAGCAAAATAAACAACGGCCCCACGTGCAGATGACACGCTCTGTGCCTCAGAACTCCCTTGTCACTGAGGGACTGACACCTCCATTTCTTGTATAATGAAACCAAGTCACAGAGAAGTGAAGCCACTTGCCCAAGGCCTCTCTGGTAAGCGAGCCAACCAGGGGCTGAGCTGGGAATTGGACTGGGGCGCGTGAATGCCTCCTCACCTCTCCAGCGGCCACCGCAGAGCGGCCACCCCTTCCCCAGCCAGCCCCTGCTCACTCTTGTTTCTGTAGCACTGACACTACCCCAGATCATCTTGTCTCTTTAATCACCTCCTTCCTACTGTCCATCCACCCTCCCTGTGGGCAGGGCTCTGGCTTGTGCACTTGCTGAAGGGGGCCCAGCCTGCCTGCGCGCACACTTCCGCCTCAGCAGGCTCCCACCCCCAGGCCGACTGCTCCCTTGTCCACATGAGTCGTGGTCCAGGTGCCAACTGGACTAAGGACCACGTGCCCGGGAAAATGCTACAGAGCTGGCCGTCCCTGAGAGTAAGCCCTCTCCCCACCAGCCCTGGGGGGGCCCTGGGGCAGGACAGTGGAGATGGCCAGATTCTGTCTCTGGCCCTCAGTGTGTTCCCTCAGGGAGCCTGAGACTTCTGAGTCTGACCCAGGGCGAGAGTGGGGGGCCGGAATATGGGGCGAACAGGCCTCCCCACAGCGTTGCTGTGAAGAGGGGTGAGTGAGTGTGAGGGGAGGCCCTGCCCAGCGGCCCGGACAGGCCTGGCTCTGTGGCCATCAGCATGAATCCCCAGGAGGGAGCTAAGGCCAGCGCGGAGGCCCCCGGGGCTCCTCTCACCCTGGGCTCCCTGGGGGGCTGGTCCCTGAACTTATGCCTTCAGACTTTCAAAATTCCTAGAATTGGTTGCAAAAGGCCACCTCAACACTAGCGGAGCCGAGAGAAGGAACATTGTGTTTACATGAGGCTGGCCCAGGGAGACGGGGAGGCCTGGCCAAGGTAAATATCAACACCAGCTTGGCTTTCAAAGTCAAGGATGTGGAAAATAAATAGAGAAGGAAATTTCCCCTCCTGAGGACCCCAGCTGCCCGGGCCGGTGGTGGGTAAGCCTTTCACACACAGCCCCCCCACGTCTACATACACCTACTGCCCCAGAACATTAGGAGGGGGTTCCAAAGCCTGCAGAAGCAGGAATGGGGTGCGAGAAGCCAGCTCTGGGGTCCAGCAACCTGGGTGTGGCCAGGCAGGCCCTGCCCTGGGCCCATTCCCCCCCCCCCCCCCCCCCCAGCTCATCCTCAGCATGGCTTGAACTAGACTCCTGGGCCTGCCTCCTCAGGTGGGATCCAGCGGTAGGGGGCCCGGTGGTGGCGTGGCTGCGTTTCAAATGAAGGCTGCACTTAGGAGCCCCTGAACCTGATGCTCTCCCAGTTCTGTCCATCTGAGTGGGAAACCAGCCACCAGAGGGTTCACCAGCAGGGTGCCCCATTCCTTCCCTCAGCCATTCAATACACACAAACTTATGCAGCCCCTCCCTGTGCCACATGCTGCGCAACCTGCTGCAGAGGCTCCCTCCTTCACTCCTAACAGCCTGTGAGGTGCAGATGGAAACCAGCTCAGAGAGGTATGCAGCTTGCCTGGGATCACACAGTAAGTAAGGTGCAGATCTGGGAGCACAGGTCTGTGGGAAAAGGTTAAGGGCTGCCTGCAGGGCTGGGGCAGGCTGCGCGGAGGTGGGGGCCATGGCTGAGGCCCCACCAGGCCAACGTGAGGGGAATGAGGGAGGGAAGCCTTGTGGGCCACGCAGTGACCTCCTGCCCAGCCTCCTGTGTGGGGGGGCGGGGGGGGGGAACCCCCGCCAATGAGCAATGCCCTCTGCAGATGGGCAGATGCGGCTGCTCACAGGACTCAGGGGCCAGGCTGAGCAGGAGCCTCCATCCATTTGTCATCTATTTTACTGCATCTCAGCTATGGGAAAGGGCCCTCAGCACCAGCCTGCCTCAGCATGCAGCATCAGGGAGAAAGCTGGCACTGAGTGTGGGCAGGCAAGAGGGCTCCTGGCTCTGCCCCTCGCTCCCGGCAGCGCCCAGGCTGTGCAGGCTGTCAAGCAAGACACCCAAAGGGCCTATCCTGATGGGACGCTACGGAAGACAGGTGGGGGGTGGACTTGACATAACTGCTCTGGGATTTTTCAGAACGAGCTCCTTGGGCCTGAGAGGGTTTCTCCACTAAGGCAGCCGGTCCTTTACCCCTGGGCTGGGCTCAGGAAGGCTGCAGCAGTCTTAATTTTAAACCTCAAGAAACTTAAACCTCAACAAATACTGTGTGATGTCACTTACATGGAATCTAAAAAAGCGGTACTCAGAGAAGCAGAGAGTGGATGCGTGGGTGCCAGGGGCTGGGGGAGATGGGAGATGCTGGTCAAAGGGTCCCAACACCCAGTTTTAAGAAGAGTAAGTCTGGGGAGTTGACGTACAACACGGTGATTAGAATTAAAAATCCTGCATTGTGTACTGGACATTTGCTAAGAGAGTAGATCTTAAGTGCTCTTACCACACACACACACACACACACACACACACACACAATAACTATGTGAGGTGACGGGTGTGCTCATTAACTTGATTCTAGTAGTCATTTCACACTGTATACAAATATTAAATCATCACGTTGTACACCTTTTAAAAAACCATGTTGAACAATCTAAACACATACAATTTTTGTTAGTCATTCCTCAATAAAGTTGGAGGGAAGAAAGAAACTTAAGCCTCATTTCCTCCTAGAATATGGGCTCCCAGAGGGGGCTGACATGGGTCTGCTCCCTGCAGGGTCCTCAGCCTCCGCACAGCACCTGGTGGAGAAAGGGCCCCAGTGAATGTCCTCTTAATGAATGAAGCTTGTATTAAATTGGCCAAGATTTTAAAAAATGGTAATACTCAGTGCTGGCAAGGGTATGGTGAAACACTTCCAGTAGGAATGTAAATTTGTTCCGTATTTTTTTCAAAGAAGAGATTTGGCAATATGTATTACAAAGCTTAAAAAATGTTCATACCCTAAGAAAGAGATAAATGACCTCTTTTTACAGATGATTTTCAAGTACAGCTAGAAACCCAAGAAAATAAATGCTAAGATGAATACGGACAATAAAGAGTATTCAGTAAGACAGTAAGTTACAAAATTAACAACAAATTGTAACCTGCCTGTATACAAACAACGGCCAGTCAGAAAACATAATGGAGAAGAACCCTTTGTAAGAGCAATGAAAAAGATAAATTACTAGGGAATAAACCTAACGTGAAATGTACAACATCTATATGAAAAAACCCTTCAAAACAGTCCTGCAACATCCTCACAAGACTCTCACGAGAAGCCGGCTGGAACCAATGGGGAGCAGCCCTTGCTTCTGCGGTTTATGGTTGACATCAATTAGGACATCGACTTTCCCAAGCTAATATATAAATTTT